TTGCGGACGCCATGACGTACCCCGAGGACGCTGGCCAGGATGGGCCTCGCGAGCACGCCGTTCCTGCTCGAGAGCCTGGTCAGCTACGCCCAGAGCCCCTCAGGGCCCCGCCTGGTCTGGAGTCGCCCAGACGCGGCGACCATCGCCAGCGCGACGTTTTCCCTTTACCCCTTCTTCCCGTGGAAGGGCGACGTCGCCAGCCCCTTGGACGAGCTACTCGTCTGCGCGCCGCCGAAGGCGCGGGCTGGAGGGAGTGGTGCAACGAGGGGTTGACCGCTATCCACTGGCTCCACTGCGGCAAGGACGAGCTGAGCGAGCCCAGGGACAGCGCGCACACGCCCGCGGTGCAGGCAGCCTCTGCGGAGTACCTTGCTGACCAGCATCGCGAGTTTGAGCTGCCCGCCGCCAACTCGGAGAGGGGCAGCGCCTGCGAAGCATCCCCTGTGCAGACGCTCGCTCCGGCACCTGGCTACGCCGGCGACAGCGGTCGGGTGCGCCCCTACAGCAAGCCTCTCGCGGCCTGGCCCGAGTCGACGAAGGCAGTCTCCACCTCCGACGTCGTCGCCGAGGCCGACTCCATCGTGCTGCAGGGCTGGAGGCAGAGTATGCTGAATCCCGAGTCGGTCGCGGCGGAGCTTCGTGAGTCTCTGGGAGCGTTGCGCCCCTATGTGGATCCTGAGCTTCGCCATCGGCCGAAGTGGCACGCCCAGTTTTTAAAAGCAGCTGGGGGCCCGCGACGCGATGTCATGGCAGGCCGCCAGCCCTCAGGCCTCTTTTACAACCGGCTTGTTCTTTGCGGGGAAATCCAACCACATGCTCGGGCTCGCATTCGACACTCGGTTGGCCAACTGCAGCTTTGCGGCGCCGCCAGCCACAAGGCTCCCCGCGCCCAGCGCGCGGGCCAGCGCCGACCGCGACGACAGCATTGTGTTCGCTTAGGGCGACATCCAGTGCGCTTTCTATCATGTACGCTTGCCTGCAGGGATGGAGCCGCTGTTCTCGCTGCCCGCGATCTCCAATAGATACATCGGTCTCAAACCCATTGGCGGAACCCCCATCGGTATCAACGATTTCGTCTAACCTTGGGTCACTGTGGTCCCCATGGGGTGGAGCTGGGCTCTTCACTTAGCTTGGGCTCTCCGATGTCGGATTCCAGGATAGCGAGATGATCCTGGATGGTGGTAGCCCTCGTCCTTAGGTCTTCCCGACAGACGCGTTGCGTGCAGGATACCGGGGCGTGCGTAAAAAACGACCATCCGTCGATATGATGAGGTAGTGGCGTTCTGCATTAGAAGTAATGATCATGCGTGTCGTACGAAACGTGTGAGGGGTGTGCCGCGAAACGGGCGCGGGGCCAGAATACGCTCAAACAGGGTCCTCCTGGAACGGCGGAGTGTCCATTATCTTCGCCCGCGCGTGAGGCCACTGTATCGTTTCCATTATCTTCGCCCGCGCGTGAGGCCACATTCTCGGTCCCATGAGATTCGCCCGCACGTGGGGCCACATTTTCGCATTCATCTGTTACAGCCCAAAAATCGTGTTCGCCCTCCCCCCCCCTCCCCCCCATGGAGCAAAGCTGGGTGGAGGCGGAAGCGCCGACCTGCCCGGCCCACGAGTCAGCTTTGCACTTCGGGGGGGAGGGGGGGGAGGGAAAGAGGGAGGGAGGGAGGGAGGGAAGGTGGAGGAGGCAGGAGGAGGAGGGGAGGAGGAGGAGGAGGAGGACGACGACAACGACGAGGAGGAGGACGAGGAGGGAGGAACAGCTTTGCACTTCGGGGGGGAGGGGGGGAGGGAAAGGGGGAGGGAAGGGGGAGGGAAGGGGGGAGGGAGGCAGTGGGGGAGGAGGGGGGAGGAAGAGGAGGGTGAAGGGGAGGAGGAATGAGGAATGAGGAATGAGGAATGAGGAATGAGGAATCAGGAGGAGGAGGACGAGGAGGAGGAGGAGGAGGAGGAGAAGGAGGAGGAGGAGGAGAAAGGAGGAACAACTCTGCACTTCGGAGGGGAAGGGGGGGAAGGGAAGGAAGGAGGAAGGGAGGGAGGAGGGAGGAAAAGGAGGAATGAGGAGGATGGAGGAGGAGGAGGGGCGACGAGGAGAAGGAACGAGGATGATTTTCAAATGGAGTGCGAAGGAGTGCCTCTGGGGAGTATCTCCAGAGGCTTTCGGGCGGAGTGCGGACGACTGCGGAGGATTTCAAATTCGAGCGGAGGCCTCTGGGGAGCACCTCCAGAGGCCTCCAGGAGGAGTGCGGACGAATGCGGAGGATTTCAAATTCAAGCGGAGGCCTCTGGGGAGTGCCTCCGGAGGCTTTCGGGCGGAGTGCGGACGAATGCGGAGGATGTCAAATTCCAGCGGAGGCCTCTGGACTGCCTCCCAGAGGCTTCCGGGAGGAGTGCGGACGAGTGCGGAGGATATCAAATTCGAGCGGAGGCGTCTGGGGACTAGTGCTGGAGGCCTCCGGCGGGAGGATTGCGGACGAGTGCGGACGATTTTGAATTGGAGGCTGGAGGATGGGAGGGTGGGGCGGCGGGCGAGGGAGGGGGGAGGGATAGGCCCGGCGACAAAGAAGCGACCACATCTTCTTTGCGAGACCTTGCGTGCAGAGGCTGTGATATGATTCGGGCAGGCCCAGTGAGGCAGACATGAAAACATCTCCCTGGCGAAGACGTGCGTGCAGAGGCTGTGATATGTTTTGCCAGCCGCGGTGAGGGAGACTTCAAACCATCTTCCTTGCCAAAATGTGCGTGCAAAGGCTGTGATGCGATGATGTTGGCATGTGAATCGAACGATGTCGTGCGTGCGATTGCTGTGCGATGATCTGGTTGTGATGTGGAGGCAACTGTGAACCGAACGATGTCGTGCGTGCGATGGCTGTGCGATGATCTGGTTGTCATGTGGAGGCAACTGTGAACCGTCTGGCGCGCTCCGCGTGCCACGGTCGTTTATTTCGCACACACCGGTATGTCGATAATCTATGTGTTGTGTCTAAGAGCCCAGAGATAGCCACGCCCCGCGCCCGCGCCGTCGCCGACCTTCTCACTGCTCGCGGTCTGCCCGCCCTGGACTTCTCGCCTGCCGTCAGCAACGGGGTCTTCGCAGGTTTACAGATCGACGGGCTGTCTGGGCTTATTCGCGTGCGTCCTGATCGGCTCGCCCGCGCCCACCATGCTGTTCTTGGTCTTCTTTGACGTGGGCGGGCCTCTTCGGGGGCCCTTAGTGTGCTGGTCGGTCATTGGGGGGTGATCTTGAGACGTGACGTTCGCCCATCGGTTCATCGGCGTCGTGGGGCCTCATCCTGGGCCTCTCTGGGAGTCAGTAGTCAGGGGGCCGAGGGCCGCGGTGGCCCTGATCCCGCTTTGGAGTGCCTCTACCGGGTCTCGGTGGCACTCACGAGCCTATGCTTCTGACGCTTCACCGTTCGGAAGGGGGTGTGCATCAAGGACGTCCCCCTGAGCTAGCTTCGGAGGTCGGCCGGGTTGCTGAGAAGTGGAGGTATCACCAGGGGTCCAGTGTGTTCGCCAGGCCCCATGCCTTCGACTCTGCGGGCCCCCATCGCGATGCCGCTGATGCTCGTCATCACGCCACGCCACCGCTGTTTACGCCATTCTCGTCGACGGGCTGTCCTGGCTTCCTGGAGGTCCCTGAGCCTGTCTACGGGTTCGAGGGCTGGAAGACTATTCACTCGAGTCGGCACGCCCGCGCTGGGCGTGACATCTTGCAGTACGAAGCCGAGGCCCTGGGGCTCAGTGTGCACCGCGCGCCCAGGACCCTGGGGGCTCATCACCATCACATCGCCTGCATCGTTGACAACTTGGCTCTAGCCCTCTCCGTCGGGAAGGGGCGTTCTGGCAGCCCGCGCCTCGCGTGCGCCTTGAGGATTGCGGGCGCGGCACTGGCTCGCGATTTTCGCGCTCTGGCGCGCTGGATGCCTTCGGAGAGGAATGTCTCCGACAGGGCGTCGAGGGAGGGCTTCTTCGTCGGCCCGAGCTTCGAGGACTTCGCCTCGGATCAGGTCGCGCGTCGGCCTCGGCCCCCCAAGCGAGGTGATCAAGGCGGCGAGGGGGCAGGCGGTCCACCCTGGGCTCACCAGCCTCCTGCGAGGAAGCCCGTCGGTGTTGGAGGGCTCCGGTCTCGGCGACGACGGGCGGGAACTACCGCGCCCGCGCCCGGAAGTTTCTGAGTTGGCGCCTGTGGACTAAGGGGCAGCGCCGAGCTGGACATCGCCCTGGCGGTGTTCTTCGCCCACCTCTTCCTCGACGGCTGCGACAGCGCGGCGGGCCGCGCGACAATGGCCGCGCGGAAGCACCGCCTCCCTTCGATGCTGGTGGGGGGCAGGCCGCTGCCCAGGGCTTTTCGGCCCCTCCAGGCCAGGACCAAGCACGTGCCCCCGCAGATGCGCCTGCCACTGCCGCGCGTCGCCATGTTCGCGATCGCGGGCGCGCTGCTGGCCCAGGCGCGCATCGCGGAGGCCACCTTCGTGAGGCTCGCCTTCGACACCTACCTCCGCCCGAGCGAGGTCTACCGCCTCACCGCCGCCTCGCTGATCGCACCGCGCGTCGGGTCGACGGGGGGCCACCAGCACTGGGCCATCCTCGTCAACGACGCAGCGAGCGGCAGGCCTGGCAAGACGGGAGTGACGGACGAGAGCGCGATCGTCGACGACCCGCAGCTGCAGCCTCTTCTCGAGGCTCTTCGGGAGGGTCGTCGTCCAGAGGCCAGTTTGTGGAGCTTCTCCCCCGACCAGGTGCGCCAGGCCCTCAAGAACTCCCTGGTCCAGCTCCAGCTCGACGGGGAGCTGACCTCGCTGTACTCGCTGCGCCACGGGGGAGCGTCTGACGACCTCCTCTCGGGTCGTCGGACGCGGAAGGAGGTGAACGACCGAGGCCGATGGAAGACGGACCACTCGTGAAACGGGTCGATGGAGGACGAGGCCGATGGAGGGCGACCGAGGCCGATGGAGAACGGGCCGAACGGATATGCCAAGCGCGCTCGGGTGCAGCAGCGGCTGGGTCAGCTCTCACCAGCCCTAGTGGACTTCGGGGACAAGGTCGAGAAGGACTTCCTCGGCTTGATGGAGGTGCAGGCGCGGACGGGCATCTTCACATTGCCGCTGCCTCCGCTCCTCCCCGCGACCACGCCGCCTCCACCAAGGGCGGCGCCCGTGCTTGCCGACCAGTGGCCCTTCGCGTGCGGCGGCTGTGGAGGCGGCCATCACGCCGGGCCATGTGATGTTGTGCACGTTTGCGCCGAATTCTGTTTGGCGAGCTTGCGAACCCAATGGGCTTGGAACTGTGGCCATCAACCCTTCTCGGCACCGTCGTGACGACGCTGGTGATCCTCAGGTATTGAAGACTCTGATAGGATGGGTCCGCTCTTCGGCGGTCCTCGGGCTGTGGGCCCCCCTTCCATATGCCACCTGGAGGGTAGGAGCCGCTCGAGTGCGCCGCCTCGACTCCCTGCTGGAGGGGGCGACGGGCGCGAAGGCCGACAGGCGGGCCCTCCGCGTCGCGAGCGCCCCCGCCGTTGCCACCATTAGGCTCCTCTCGGAGTGCATTTTCCACAGGGTCCCGATCATTTCTGTGTGCCTTGAGACCAGCCTGATTTGGAAACATCCCCTCCTGTCCCCTCTCCTCTCCGCCTCCTTTTCCTCCTCCTCCTCCTCCTCCTCCTCCTTCTCCTCCTCCTCCTCCTCCTCCTCCTCTTCCTCCTCCTCCTCCTCCTCCTCCTCCTCCTGCTCCCTCGACTCATGCATGTGTCCTGGCCGAGTCAGGCAGAGGATCTTCATGGTAGGTTGGGGCGTCACGGACCTCACCTCCTCGCGCGCCGTTGCCACTGCGCCCACGGCCTGCGCGACCGCACAGGGCGGCGCCATCTGGGGGGCCTCGGTCGTCCAGCGCCAGACGCCGTCGCCCGAGCGTCCGCGAACGGGCTCCGCTTTAAA